CTTTGTTTTAGTGGTAGCTACAGCAATTTCCTCCAAGGTTTTTGATACGTTGATAATCATGTATTTTTTCATTTTCGTACGTGCCCAGGGAAAGGTGTTCTTCCAAATCTGGTGCCTTCATGGGGGCTGACCTGCCAGGCATGAAATGTCCTTGTCAGTGTGTGTAACTAGGGACACATTTGGACTTGTGAAGTAGGTTTTGTTTTTTTTGAATTGGGGGAGGGAACAGCATTGGGGAATCGGGGAAGTGAAACAGACAAGTTGCTGTCTTTTTGTTCTTCAGTCTAGTGGAGGACATCGCTTCACTAGCCCATGTTGGTATTGTGATCATTGTGCTCTTCCTGGCTGAGGCAGTCAGTCGCGGGCCATTGGACAGCCGCTCTCAGTGGTGGCTCACAGCAGCTCATAAAAGCGCATGCTAGCTGCTGGCCAGCCCCGCTGCAGCCTACGCCAGCCACTCATGGCAGCCCAGTTTTAGGTCGAGCTGTTGTTCACCATCTTAGCTGTAGAGGGTGCAGCATCACTGGTCCTAATGTGGGATCCAAACTGGTTCTGCTGCTGACAGCTGGCATCCCAAGCCAGCTCTTTACCAACGCGCCACTCTGACGGCCCTGTTACAAGTTATTTTAAAGATTACTTTCTGAGATGTGTTACTATATAACAAGTAGTTATCCATTTTATAAAGTCTGAAAATGTTTTATACCACTTTTACAAGCTGCATACTGTTTCGAACAATGGGATACAATCAGACCCTTTTTCTATCCATTAGCATTCATCTCTTCTAGTAAATAATGATTTCACAAGCATCGTGTACATAAAGAATAGTCTACAATTGCAATTTTTTAAATAGATAGACTAATGGTCAACATTAAGTCAAAGAGTTTAAACATTTTTATGCCTTTTCATACATGTGGTCAAATTGTTTCTCGAAATTTCTATACTGACATATTCATATATTTAACACATAGTTAATTAGTCCCTGCTATGAGCTGGGAACGATGTGGAGGATACAGTGATGAAGAAACAGACAAGACCTCTTGCTCAAAGAACATATATTACAGTGATAGTCACTAACAAACACAACTTTTTATAAGATCAGTGATAATTGCTTTGGAGACAAACATGCCTGGGCTAGAAGACTGGTGGTGGGTGGATGGTGGGCATATATGTCAGTTTGTTGGACATGACGTTTCTGAGGACTGACTGACCTCTGGACACTTGAGCAGAGACCCGAATGGTGTGAGGAGCGGCCATGTGGGTCCCTGGGGAGGAGGTGCACTTGGGGAGTCACTGCAGGGGCAGGGGCCCTGAGACAGGACTGGGCAGTGTCCAGAGGCAGATGTGAGTAGAGACAGGTGAGCTGGGCTAAGGGGGTGGGTGGTGAGACCAGGGCAATCAGAGGGGTCCTGTCATGAGGGGCTGGAAGGCAGGTGAGAGACTTGGGGCTCATTGTGCCTAAGAAGGGAGACACTGGAGTGTCATGTGGGACGTGGTGGTGAGATTAGATCCTAATTCACTTTTAAAAGATGACTGCCTGCTATGTGGGTAATGGGCATGAGCGTCAGCAGGGAGCCCAGCTGGACGGGCCGCCTGTTACTGCTGTAGAGGATGGTTCTGGATCGAAGCAGCAGAAGAGGGAGAAGTGACTGGATTCCGTGGTGGTGCAGTTAAGAGGTGTCAGCAGTGATTCAGTGGAGAACCACACATTTATGTGCTTACTTTAACTCCACAGTTGATTCAAGGTGGCTCCCTGCAAGGAACCCAAAGTAAGATACATGAGTTATTTAAAAATCAACACCAAGAATAATATAAATTTTAAAATGTTAAGACTGTGGTAAAGCTAGAACATTACGAGGCAAACTGGAATACGTGAAACATTTGCAGAAATGGAGTGTTTCAAAAATATATTTATGTATGTCTGTGTTATTTAATATATAATGTATTTCATATATGTATATATTTATAGATTTAAAAATATTTAGGGGAGGCCAATTCACTTAGCTCAGTTGATTAGAGCACAGTGCACATAACACCAGGGTTGCTGGTTAGATACCCACATGTGCCACTGAGTTGCACCCTCCACAGCTAGATTGAAAAAAATGAGTAGACCTTCATCTGATGGGTCCTGGAAAAACGCACTGTTCCCCAATAAAATTTATTTTTAAAAAAATTGTATATGCAAATACATATCATTTATCTAAATCACACACACTCATATATATACATACATACATTATATATATATACATATATATATACATATATATATATACATATATATATATATATGTATATATATATATATACACACATATACACAGAGAGAGAGAGAGAGAGAGAGAGAGATTGATTTAGTTTAAGGAACTGGCTCAAGTGACGGTAGAGGCTGAAAACCTGTAAGGCAGGTAGGACACCAACTGGAAACCCGGAGAAGAGTTGGTGCTGAAGTTCATGCCTGAAGGCAGTCTGCTGTCACAGTTCCCTCCTCCTTGGGGGAGGTCAGGGTTTTTTTTTCTATTTAGGACTTTATTCTATTTAGGACTACCCACCCACATTATGGAAGGGTAATCTGCTTTACTCAATGTCTATTGATTTAAATATTAATGTCACCCAAAAAATACCTTCACAGAAACATCTAGAATGTTCTATGATGTTTCATCTGGGTGCCGTGGGCTAGCTAAGATGACTCGGATAATGAACCTACACACGAGGCCATAGCCCACATGGCCAGTCCCTGTTCCTACTTCATTCTGCCTAAGAAGGGAGACACGGGGGTGTCATGTGGGATGTGGTTCAGATTCCACATGGAGACAGGGCAAAAGTCAATTAATTCCAAGATTTTCAAAGACAAACTCAAAATCTGCAAAGTCAGCAAGTGAACGTAAAAACCTCAGGAACCCAAGGAGATTCTACATTTGTCCCCAGAAATAGCCTCACTGTGCGCTGCTGAAGAGAGAGGGTCCCTCCTGGGCCCCAAGGCAGAGGGGCTGCTGGGCTGCAGCATAAACAGAGTTGCCCCTTCCACCTGCAGGTCCCACAGCCTGACAGCCAACCTCAGTGATCTCACCTGAACTGGGAATTTGGTTTTCTGCTCTTGGTTCTATTTGAGCATTTGTGTGGGCTTCAAAGTGTGACACAGAAGTTTCCTTGTACTATTTCTTTGATGGAATTTGACCTCCACCCTTGGTGGCCCTGACTTCCCTGCCTGGTCCATGGAGGGAATGGACTTTCCTGACCACTTTTCAGTGTCTCCTTGTGTAGGAGGGTTCAGTAGACTTGGAGTTAGGGGCTCCCCCACTCTCACTTTCCTCTCTAATGCAGACTCCTTTATGATTTTTAGGGGGCAAAGTTCTTTGAAGTCTGCTGAATATCACTGTCACATCTCCTGAAATAAAGGCATATATGCACATAACATTAACCATTGTGTGCATTGCAAGGTGGGAGGTTC